TACCTTACCACTTTGTACTCAAGACGCATGTTTCATAATTAATTAAACAATATACGTACATAGGTACACATAGGTAATTTAGGTTAGGTATATACGATTTAGATACTAAAATAGTATATATAGAAGAGTAGTATATATGTACCAATCCTAGCGCACTCTGATCTATTTCTCTTGAAAATAATTTGTTGATCTTTTTCACATAAAACTAATTTATTGATCTTTTTCACATAAAACTAATTTCGTGATCTTTTTCACTTAAAACTAATTTGTTAATATTCTCATATAAATTGCGTTTCACATAATTATTTCAAAATGATTTCGCAAAAAAATTTCGCCAAAAAAGTTTCTGAAGATTTTGCAAAAGTTTTTTCCCCAACCATACGGACACCTGAGCTGGGCCCAGCTTTTTTAATTTCACAATTTTTTGAGTTGTTAGTTTTGATTAAATTATTAATATGGTCAACGAAATTTTCTCCAGGTATTTCTGTTTTATAATGATCCCATGCTAGAGTATTAATCCCATTTTCTAGTATGAATCTTTTATCGTCATGAGCACTGAGTGCTGTTTTATTTTGCTCAATTATACAAATGTCATGGTTTTTAGTTCTAAAAATATTTTGTTTAACACTTAGAGATTTTTGAGTCGACAAACATTTTTTAAAATCATTGTCACATATTTCTTCATCAACCACTGATTTTTTCACCCCTTTTGCTTTTTTGACTTATTTCGCTGTATTATGTTCCGTGAAGGAATATAATTTCTATCATAGACCAATAAACTTTTCAGTTTCGCACTGAACATATGGAAAGCTTTATGTCTTTGGGTATTCTTTATTTTTTAAGTTTCTTTGTTTTTAGTGTTCTCCTCTTTGTTGTGATTGTATTGTAAGGATCGTTATCTTTGGGTTTTTTTGTATGACAGTGTCCTGACCAATTCTTATAAGTAATAGTATTATCATAAACTGCACAGAATTTGTCATTGTATTTAGTATTCATATTCGAATTATCTTCCATTTTATTATAAAATATATTTATTTTTTTTTTCAAACGCGAAAAAAATTGAATTTTTTTCTCGTGCTCCAAATATTCCAAGCATCGTTGTTTGTTGACTTGAAATGCAAATCTCCTATGAATAATATTTTAGAAAAATAAGAATCTCCCATCTTTATATTAAGAAAATTTTATTTTTAATTAAAAAGCGTTTTCCTTCAAATAAATGGATGACTTAAAATTCAAGAATTTTGAATTCATACCATGTATACTTCATTCTCAAATGAAGCTCGAAGTGTACAAGATTCTTGAGAAATTAATTTACGGAGAATTAGGCTTGAAAATAACTGAATCTTATAAAAATATATTAGAGAATAAAGGTCCTGATTCTTTGATCTATGAAATATCTAGATCAATCGGGGAAGAACCCAAGGAAAATTTAAAATTAAAACGTACAAACATCAAGGATATGCTCGAAAATTATGTGATCAGGAATAAAAAAGGTCAGGATTTCTTGAAGGCTCTAAACTTGAAGATTCTTTTGAAAATTATTCCAAACAAAAATTTAATCGTGAAAAATGGAGATATTGTAGACATAATTTCTTAAAAAAAATAAAACTAATCAACATCTCTTTTGGATATTTTTCTCCATTTATTTCAAACCAAATATCCAAATATTTCTAACATTACAGTGATCAAAATTATTCAATTCTTTTATTTGAGTATTATATGTGTTTGTTTGTAAACCTACAATCCCTAATAAAGGATTATGAGAATTTCTATACATGTTTGTAATATCAAGAGTATACTTCTTTCCACTCAAATTTCTTACTTCAATACATTTGAGAGTTTTGAAATCCAAGAAATAATTATTTTTTTCTGATAATTCGACCAATTTATTTAATAAGAGGGTTTTACTCATGCTATCATATTTTACTATGCGAAAACTAATCCTAAAGTCCTCAATAATAATTTTTCCTTCTTTTGGCACTGTATTATCAGTAATTATTTCTTTGGATAATACGTCGTGATCATGATTTCGAGTAAATTCCAATTGAATATCTCCATTGTAAATCGGTTGGGTTATATCTTCAAAGAAACCCAAACCGAAATCAGACAAATTACCATAAGCATTAAATTTTCCACTTCCTTTAAATCTCGATTGATATCCCGAGTTTATAGTAGGACCATGATTATTATTTAAAGCATAACCAACAACCCCTTTAATATTACTTGTTATACCAGGGTTTTCGATTTCCTCAAGCAATGTACCATGTTTTTTCAGTTGGATGTTAGAAATCAGTTTGCTTGGAAAGCCATTCTCTAAGTTTATGTTGCTATTTGTAGGATATTCAGAACCATCAAGTTGTACAAGTTTTCCGGAAATGCTAAATTTTGTGGACTTCAGGTCTAGAAACTATCGCTTCCATCTATCGAGAGAGTTGTCTTCCGATTAACACTATTAAGATTTAACAAGGAAGTTGGGTAGTAATCCTTGAATTAAGCCCGAATAATATTGTCATCATACTTTTCAAAAATATTTTCCATTTATTATACATTTTATTTTTTCTTTGTAACAATATAAAAATTTTAAAGAGTTTCTCTTTAAAATTAACAACACATTTTTTTTAAATTTTTAATAAATTCCAAACACAAATTACCACAAATGGGTGGATCATTATAATCTTGGTATATATTCGTTGATATTAGCAAGTTCTTTTTCCCTAAATAATTAACAAGTTCTGTAGGCGGATTAAATTCTCCATATGATTCGAAATAAATTTTTAAATCCTCTTCTTTTACCCATGCTACCCAGTATGAGCCTTCCTCATTAGAATCGTTTAAATTTAATATCTCACTTTCATTTGTTCTAGGTTTTAGAGGAAGTTCGTTTCTCATGAAACACCCTCTAAAATATTTATTTTTTTCGGTAAATTTTATGATATCAAAATTACTCAATGCTTTTTTCCCATATTTTTTAACAAGGAATTCAATAGATAGGTCTATTTTTTGGTTGTTTTTTTTTCTCTTCAAACCTGAGCCAAATGTTGGGTCTCTTAGGTTCATGATTTTCTGTGTAGCGATATTACCTAGATGTATTGTTTTTGGTGTTTGATGTTTTTCTTCTTGTTGGTGTTTGAAAACTTGATATCATTTTCTGGTTGTTTTCTCTATGGATTGGTTGCTCTATCAATGTCGATGTTTTTACAGGTATCAACGCTTTCAGTGAATCAACATCTATTTTGTTTACAGCATTTTCTGTCTCTTAACACTTTCATTACAAGTTTGAAAGCTTTTTCCTTTCTTATTTCATTGTTGATTTCTCTTTGATTTGCATTTCTAAAATTATTTTGTAGTTTTTCTCTAATTTTTAATACTTGTTTGGTTTTCTCTATTTTTTCCTTGTTCTTATAATTGTTTAAAATACTTGGCTCATCTTGAAGGTCTCCTCCTTTTCTCATTTTTTTTATAATTTTATTCTGAATTTTTTTAATATCACTATCATTCATTTATAATAGATATATTTTTAAAAATATATCTAAATTATATTACAAACGCCCAACACCCAACGTCCAACACCCAACGTGAACGTGAATATCCAACATAAACGTGAACGAAATCGCCCAACGTCCAACGTCCAACGTGAACGTGAATGTCCAACGTAAACGTGAACTTTAACACAATTTTTTCTCTAGTTTATTGTATATATGATTATCTATAACATCCAGAGAAATGTATTCATATTTTTTTTCTAAAAAAGTGCACACAATTTTTCAAATTTATTCTTATATAGGGTTGAACAATAAAAACTTTCCCAAATTTTACTCACGTAGTGATTTTGCTGTTTAAAAATAAACAAAAAATTTAAATTATTTCGTATCAATTTTAAATCGCTCGAACTAAAACAATGAGTTAAATAAATACAGGAAATATTTTTATGTGTTTCTCTGACAAAATATTCCTTTACTTATGATTGACCTTTTTCCAAAATCCAGTTATCAAAAACAACTAGACTATTTGTTTGACATTCATTGACAGGTACTATATCTTGATCAGAGAAATGTGAATGAACCTTAAAATGAATATCAAATATTTTTTGTAAAATTATATACACAGGTTGTTCAAGATTTTTTGTGAATACATATAGATGTTTGTAATCAACCCAGTTCTCTGTGATAATGTTTCTTAATAGAGTGGTCTTACCAGAACCAAACCCTCCCACAGTTAAACATCGAATAGGATCAGGAAGTATAGAATTACTTTTATTTGAGGTCTCGGTTTTAAAAGGATAAAGCTTGAAAATATATTTTTTCATGTTTATTACAGAGTTTTTAAATATTCTTGAATATTTAAAAGAGATAAATTATCCATCGATAAATTATCGACCGAGGTAAATTGCTCTCACATGAAATATCAAGATAAAAGTCCTTCATTCAATACGAAAACATGATGAATATAAACTGGGAATGTCTTACTCAAAACTGACAAAATGTTTTGTGTAACCATTACTCAATTTTTCTAGACCTTTATAAATTAAGTTGAACTTTACCGGATCCGAGTTAATTATTTTAAGATCATTTTCTGTAAATTTTTTAGCAAAGTGGTCTGGTAAAATTACTCTTAAATTGCTATCTAAAGTAGCTTGTAATTTTGGACCATACTTTGTCTTTATAATTTCAAGGTTTGTTACCATATATTTTTTTTCGAATTCCAAGTCTCTTGATGGGATGTTTTTTTGGGTTTGAATTTAAAAGTGTTTTGTAGTTTTCCATTTATTATAGAATATATATATATTTTTTTTTTAAAAAATTTATATGTTAACTACTTTTTCTTTTGAGGTTAAAATGTATTTTTTTTTATCTTATGGTTTTGCAATATTTATAATTTTAGATCCAAAGAAAACAAACATATTTTTTACTGAAATAATGTTAATATTAAAAATAAAAATTGTTTATATTATTACTTGCATTAACATATAACTATATTTTAATGCTATATATCAACATACATTTTATATTAAGTATTTCAATATATATATAACAAGAAATCTAAAAATTGACTTGTTCTCTGTAATGCTTTTGAAACTTATTGGCTTTTACACCTATTTGCATGTACAATTTCGATTGAACTTGTCTCATTATCTTCAAATCTCTGGCTTTCCTGTACAAATAAAATATTAATAATCAAATTAATTACAGCTCAAGAAAAAATATAGAGTATGTGGTAGATAAAAACTCAAACGGTAAATATCATGACAAAAAAAGAAGAAAAAAATAATATAACAAAACTTATTATCAAAAATGAATTGAAAAAAATGTATTCAATTAATCAATTTTAATTGAAAATAATATTTCATTAAAATACCAAGACTACATATACTATAAGGTAAAATACAAATTCTTTTATTTTCATAACTAAATACTATGATTAAAACAAAATAATAATATTGGTATAGCAAGTGAAATCAAGAATTTGTCCCAAACATAAGTAATATGTTATAATATATGTATGTCTATATAAGCTATATAAGCTACGTAAAGAGTGTTTTAATGTATGGCAATTAGGAAAATAAAGGCAGAAAGGAAGACCAACAAAGAAATTCTTTAAATTGTAGAGGAGAAGAGAGTTTTATTATCCATCATTAGATTAAGAAGCGGAAAACTTATAGGACACTTATTAAGACATAAACCTTTCACATCCAACATAATGGAAGGAAGAATCAATGGACGCAAAGGACGAGGAAGAATGAGGAAGACATTCATAGGAGAGATGATTGAAATGGCTGGATGTAGCGGATATTCACATATGAAGACTCTGGCATTGGAGAAATATATTCTTATATATATAAATATAAATAGAAGATAATATATCTCAAACATAGTTACTGATTTTCATACATAGCTTATTGTGACTACATGATATATAGTAATTATATTGTACAAATGAGAACAATATTAACAACATTACGTCTGTTTGTTTTAATTATTATAATTACTTATTTAATTATTATTTTATTTTTATTTTATTGTAATTAAAATTAAACAACAAATTAATATTATGTTTTATGAATTACTATACACTTATCATGAATTAAATAGTTTTTATAATTTATTATTAACTTATCTTTACTATACAACCTTAATTAAACAAATCTGAATATAAAAATGAGTCATTGAAAATCAAAATTGAATTAATATTAAATCCGGATAATCCATGAAGCCTGGATTTGACAAATCCAAAAAATTCAGATTTGTAAAATCCAGATAAAACCATCATTAGTTTTTACCATAAAAACTGATGTATTAATATTATATGGTGTCAAGTATTAAATAATCTTATTCAGAATTATGAATAAATAAGTTATAATCAGAGCTCGGGAGTTAAAGCATTTGCTTATTTATATGGATGTACTTAAAATGTAGCAGAGTGTATAAATAGAAGTGTATGTCAAGTTATAACACGTACAATTATAAAATTTGAAAATGCCTTTTTTTACTTATTTTAGCAATTTTTCAAAAAAAATGCTTATTTCCAGTTTTTTTTTTACAATTTTAAAGTTTTCTCCTGTAGTCGTTTTTGATAGAATTAAAATTAAAAAATAATTCTTATCTTATCTACATTGTCACGTAGTTTATTTCCGTCCAAGGCATCGTTGTATGGTTAACAAAGATATTCCAACATTGAGAAAATAGAACAGTGTGTCAAACGTCAGAACGATCAAGAACAGAGAGAACAGTTTACATTTTAATCCCTTAGGAAATCCATAAAATCCTTGAAGTCTTGAAAATTTAGATTTATTTTTATTTTGTTTGATTTTTTTTTTTTAATAAATATTTTTGCTTAATTTTAAATTTTTTAAATGCTTATTTTAGTGCTTATAATGATGTTTTTAAGCGCTTATTTTAATGATTTTAAGTGCTATAAGTTCCAAGCCCTTGTTATAATCTATTGATAAAAAATAAAAATGTAGTTTTATTAGAATTAAATTCTACTAATAAATTGTAGTAATATATGTTTATATCTTTGATAGAAATAAAGTGTATTATATTAATTTTAACATAAATAATAAATAAGTTCATGATTTCAACATTTTTCTTGTAATCAAGTTATAATTACTCAAAATATAAAATTTGTTAATTATAATATTGAAAATCAAATCAAAATATAATTACCTGGCTGCTGCAGCAGGGAAAGTTCCTGTCCATCCAACATGTCTGTAATGATTAATTACTTTATTTACCTTTTTCTCTTTCATAACTGCCCAATCATGATTTGGATTCAAATTTTGTCTATCAACATAAATGTTTCAATTTATAAATATACAAATCAAAGTTTAATAACACTATTATTTCTTAATAGTTCTTAAGTCTTAATTTAAATTTTCTGTACCTGTAATATCGCATTAACGATCGTTTACCAATTCTAGCTCCAGAAGGAAGAATCAATTGTGAGTTTACATCTTCAACAACACGATAATCATCTTCATTTGAGTCTGTTGGATAACTAGTAGAATAGTCGTAGAAATCTGAATACTCTAGTAATGCTTCACCTTCATGAACCATTTTAGTATGACCTAGAATAATTACATATTATATTATAATGTTTGTTACTACTATTTTAAAATAGTCTTCTTTAAGTAAAAATACCTTTATCAATCATATGCGCTTGTGCAGACTCTATTGAATGGAAATTTTTCCCAGAATCATTGCACCATAAACACATAAAACCTTGACATATTTTTTCGCCTAAATACACCAACAATCCTTTCATGTCAACTAAATATTCAATGTCTGGTATGAAAAATGAATGTGAATCAGACATGTGTTTAATATTTTCCAACAAGTTTTCACTGCTCTGAGAACAAAACAGACATTTATTGTTTGTTATGGGATTGTTTTCACTGACTACTCCATCCCATTCTTCATTCTCATCCACATCCTCATATTCATCATCATCTTCTTTTTCTTCTACAAGTTTTATTTCAATTGGTTTAATTGGTTTCTTGGAAGCTGGTATGCCAATATCTTTATCAATACTGTCTGAATGAGATGCTAAACTTTTATGTTGTTTAGATGTCAAGTGGTTATCAAATGATTTTTGTGAAGAATATGATTTTCGACAAATTATACAATAGATTGAGCTCTTTGCATTTTCTTCATCCTGTTTAGCTCGTTGACTGACTATCCGAGTTTCAAACGTTGGTCGATCAACTGGAAGCAGGTTAATGATTTTCCTTTTGAGATTATAACGATGCCAGTCCGTTTTATAGTGCACACGATGTGATTCACCAGTTTCAAAAACAATTTGGCACGTAACACATGTCAATGCCCCTTGATGTGGGGAAGAACTCATTTTCTAAAATAAAAAAATAAACAGTAAAATAAAAAAAGGATTAACTAATTGTAAACATTAATTATTTATTTTAAAATACTAGGGTTCTATGGGGTTATAATATATCATTTATATATAGTATTATGATAATGATATTATGAACAACTAAAATCTGGAAAAACGTCTCTAGCCATTTAACGGTCAGTTGTCTTATCTATAAAATCAGTCATTATCACAATTCTTAGATTAAAACACTAACCCAATGGCACCAAAGTCCAAGTTCATGTATGCTGATCGCCATCATACTAGTACAATTTTTTTTTTTTTTTTGGGTGGATACCCTGTGGTTGGGACACTAAAATAAAGTTGAAGTCTATGAAAGAATATTCCTTGAGAAAATATTAAATATTAGATTAAGGAAACAAGTTATAATTGGTACCCTTCTAATATCTGATAAGTATTCAGTATACATAGGGAATAAATTGTTGACATTTAGCAGAACATTTAACCCCTAACCCAAAACCAAGTTTTTTTAGGGTAGGTAGGTAATTAGGTGATTTGCCATACATAAAAATATAGTTTCAACTCCACTGTACTAACTGTAAACATAAACTACAGTTAAAAATGTGTCATAATTGTCTCATAAATTATAATGGATAAAAATTGTTCTCTGTTATACTATAATTTTTATTGAGACTTAATTGAAAAGTTTTTGATATTGTTTCAATTAGTGTAATAAGCAATTTAAATCCTTCTAATACACACATAGTGATGTTGAGTATGTACTTCAAATGATTTAAACAAATTTAAACAAAGTCACCAACATTTTAGGATGAATGGATGGGTGCTGGGCCTCAGATGAAATGTACATATAATTCAATAAAACTGTGCAAGGGATTTACAATTCCCTAGATAAAATCGTATACAACATTTCTCACACCAGAGATAATCGATTTTTCTAGTCAGACGATGAGTAGTAAGTAAATTTAAGACTAAAAACTAGTATTTTTTTTGGACACCGAAGCCACTGAACTCACAATAGTAAGAATCCATCAGTCAACGTGCGATAACAATAGGACAACACTCCGAGATTCCAACCAAGCGGACACTTACGCGTTTGAAGACTCGGCTGCGAGTACCAGTTATCAACTCACCTCTAATTAATCCGGTGCGTCTGATGAAACGGTTCCGTGAGTAAATCAAGAGCTTAACGTAAACAGTCGTACGTGAGAAACGTAAGTAGCAAGGCAAATTGCAGAGACGAGCACTGATAATGGTGTAGCTGTTGTTGTTCACTGGCACACGGACGATTCGACGATAAAATGATTAGAACGACGAATGGACCTTCGCAGGAACGAATTTTTTGTGTCCGTAATAATATTGCCTACATTTAACCCCTTTTTTTGCAGCTATCAAAATGTGATAACATTTATAAAACAATAACATCATTTTTATTATAATAATTTTATATATTGCTAAATTTAAATTAAAATAGTTAAATAAATTTAATAATAAACAATTCGAAAAAAAACACAATATCGTAATTTAAAATTTAAAAACACACAATTCTTTGCGAATATTTCAAGCAAAAATTTAATACATTATTAATACATTTTACTAACTATTTGGCCATAACACTCATACTATTAACATTTAAATGTTGTTCCTTCCACAGAATCTTGGACATAATTTAATACCCTTTGAATAGGAACCAGTATAGATGGTAGTATAGTATTATATAAAATAAAATAAGCTACCTGCCAATTTTGCTCTATGAGCTGTAGTAAACCTTAATTTACCAATTTCGTTTTGGTGTCACAGCAAAAATGTAATAATTGGCAAAATAATTTCATTGTTTCTCCATTTTGTTGTCACTACATACATTTCTGCATTTTTTTTTAACTAGATCGCATTTCATAACTATGTTTAATCATGTTTACGTGTACTACTTGTGGACTACAATATAATTTAAGATCAAGTTTTTATAAACACATGAGAACTAAACACGAAAAATAAAAAAAGGTATATATTTGTGATAAACGTAATACATCATTTTCAATAAAAATTTATATCATAAAACATTTTAGACATGAAATGTAAATGAACATCTTGAAGAGTAAACATATTTGCTCTTTCGAAAAATGCAATAAATTTGTTTAAGACTTATCAGTTACACTTAAATATAAGACATATGGTGAATATTATTAATAACACATTGAACTTCTAATACTATAAATTTTTTTTTTTATTAATATTTTATAATATTTATACATCATTTATACTATTACAATTTAAGAAATGGAAACATGAGGTTGAGGAGAAATATAAATGTTAATTTGTAAAAAGAACATCAACAAGAAAAGTTACTGGCATAGAATATTCATACTATTACTGTTATGGATCATTTTATCCAAGGATTTCTGGCAAAGTAAGGAAATTAATAGAAAAGTAATATTTAATAAGCATATTAATTTGAATTAGGGTAAAAGAAGTTTAAAAAATGGTGGATCAGTAAAAATAGGAAAAATATGTCCATCATACATTATATTACACAAGAAGGACAATTAATTAATTGTAAAGTATAACAATACTCATTTATGGCACCAAAATTTAAATTTAAATTTAGCAATATATAAAACCATTATAATGAAAATTATGTTATCATTTTATTAATGTTATCACATTTTGATAGCTGCAAAAAAAGGGGCTAAATGTAGGCAATATTATATACGTACACAAAAAATTCTTTCCCGCGAAGATCCATTCGTTTAGAACGAGGGCACACCACGACAGAAACATACAGAAATACCAACACCATAGGAAAGAGATTAAATTAAAAGGCGATTCTAGTAATCAGTTTTGATATCAACCACGATTCTAGCGCTTTCAGTGGTTATCATAATTACTAAAACAACCATGATATACAATAGGCAGGTAGCACTTCTTAAATCAATTGAATTAGATTTTTCGCTTTTCGGTACAATTATATCCATACGGATAACAAAAGAGTACATTAAAAGATTAGTTGTAGATGTTAAAGAAGTAAACTATGATTTGGACACATTAAATAATCAGATAGTATACATTGAGAAATATAATTATTGAATATTTTTTTATTTTTTTTTTGGTATTATTAACTATTGTACATAGATTTACTAATAATCATTGATACTTTATTAAGTATCTTGGGTCTTAGTTAAAATTTCTCAAAAATATAAATTTTAACATATCTTTCAGTAGTTGTTTACTAAGTGTTTGTAAATATTTGATTGCTTTTATCCTATTAACAACTGAAGGAATTACTCTTTTGATTTTATTAATGTATCTACTGCATGCTTTGTAGAACAGTGCTCTGTTGCAGAAGTCCCAATGTGGTGAGTTTGATAGCATTTTGCAGATCTTTACCAACTATGTTTAATAGTATTGTCATTTACATTGCCAAATAAGTTATCAATGAACAGGCAAAAATGTTTGGTAATTTTCACTCACGAACAAATTTCTGTAACAAGTTGATGTTCTATAAATAAATTTAAAAAATAATGAATAATTTCGTTTGAAAATTATGGCTAATAAATTAATAATCCCCTATTATTTGATATGACTGGCAATCTTTTCATGATAACCAAGGTCGTACCCAAAGAGGGGGGGTTCAGGTCCGGACCCCCTATTGAAATTTTTACATACTCAACGGTTTAATAGTAAATAGTATAATAATAGTATATAGTGTATTTTAATTTCCATTATCTTCAATATACAAAGTTTATAGATTATAAAATATACCTATAATGTATTACCCGTACTATAGTAGGTATATTAACAGTAATTTGTTGGGTTAAATTATAGTTATAATTAGAGAACAGATAAAATATAAATGTCGGACCCCCCCCCCATAAAAAATTCCTGGGTACGCTCTTGATAATAGCACCAACTTGTTGGCTAAAAACTTGTGCAGCATAAGAAATTTTAATTTTTTCCGGATTAACGTGATTATCGGTGAGTTTCGGAACCAATCAATCACTTCCCATACTTAGGATGTTATTAATTTCATAATATTAAATAGTATGCTTTCACAAAGTAATAATTATTTTATTATCATTCAAAAAATGTAGATCTTTAGAAATAATATAGTTTTTTAATCTTTTGAGAAGATGAGGAACATCATAGAATGATAAAATTTCATGATTTCAAACTTCAAAACCGAAGTCTTTTTTTTCAAGCGTATACTTGTGTTCAAGGCTGTATCTGGGGGAGGGTCCAGGCACCCTGCCCCCTCCTCCGAAATGTCTTTAATATTTTCTGAATGTTTAAAATACTTATTTATTTTTATCATCGTTATTGCATTCTTTCGCCATGAGTGCCGTTTTGTTAATTTGGGATCTCCCACGTTTGTGGCCTCCGTATATAACAAAAGTACCATTTTTAATACCAACATAAATATTTTCAGTCAAAAATGACTTAAGCTCCAATTAATTATTGACTGCTTCTAATTTTATATCATAATATCATACGAAAATATGATATTAATTTTAATAAAAGAAGATAAAATCTTTTTTTGTCTTATTTTTAACCAAGTATCAAAAGTTAAAATCTAAATTCAATAAAATTACAATATACATGTTTTGAACACCTCCCAAAAAAAATTTCTAGATACAGCCTTGCTTGTGCTTACAAGCAATTAATTGCATCAATAGTGGTAGGCGTTTGGTCACATATAGTTAATACTTCCATAAGACCGGTCAATTAGACGGTTTCGATTAGGTACTTTTTTTATAATAATTTCTAATTTTTTTTGTGTCATCTGTAAGATGAAAAGCTACTGGTTCTTTGAACTTCTTACAACCTCTGGCCATAAAAACAAGGGCCTAGTATATAATTATTTGCCTTGTCTGCAAGCTTTGATGAAAGGTTTTTACCACCTAAATCTTTGAACCCAATTACCTTATCACCATATATTTATTTGAATACTGAAAATATGAAGATGGTGAGATTTCATCAAAAATAAGTAAATATAATTTAGCTGTATCTGTTAAACTTATTGTTTATTTTTTAAACAGTTAATTTCAAGCAAAAGTGCGTTGATTACTACCGACTTCAAAAGGAATTTTTGTAACAAATACGCTTTTCCACATAGATTGTATAAAGATAACGCGAATATTGACGAATGGTTTCATTTGAGGTTGCATTCGAATTTGTGATTGAGTAAAATTTTGAGTCAATTAGTTAAGTCTGTTAAACGATGTGTTATTTGATTTCATGTAATGTTAATTTTTTTAATGCGGAATTTTGAAGTACAACTACGTTGATAAAGAACTGCATTTTTTTAATTGAGGCTCTTTGAAATGTGGTATGTTTTCAAGGCGTTTGATCTTAGTCACATTTTTACGTAATGCTCGTTTTGCTTCACTAAACAATTTTTTTGGCTTGAGTGGCAGTCGGCTGGATATAATATGTAGATAGGCGTAATAAATAAATTTAAAAAAAAATACAGATAAAATTTAATTATAATTAAAATAAATTTGTAAAACATAGAATATTGATAGTTGATTCTACACGACATGGCCTCTAAATAAGTATGTAGGCTGACATACAATGATGAAATCCTAGGTAAGCCGTTGCAGGGGTGTAATTAAGGGGGGATTAGGGGGATATATCTCTCCCCAGAGCCTATATAATATGTATAATTATTTATTAATTTCCTAAATAAATAAATAATTTTTTTTTTTACACAGCTTGATGGTTTGTTTGAAATTGTGAAAATCGTAATTACCTATATTTAAATTAATTACAACCTTGAGAAGTATTTTAAAATTTTAAATTCAATTTTTTTTAAATTAGAATAAAATAATTTATTTAATTTTAGTTACTTAATTTTTTTACAATATTTATTGCATCAAAAATTAATTGTAATTTTAACTTTAATTAATAATTTGGTTTTCTTTTACATAAATATATTAAAAAAATTTATTGGTTCTAGGCTAATAAAATATTATAGTTATATGGAACAAGTCATCATATATCAAAGATATAAATATTTTATAATTTAAATTAAATGTCAATGAATAATTTTATTGATGTAAAATACAAACAAATTACTACTAGTATTTATTATATTTTCAATAAAACATTAATGTTAGTGTCAGAAATTATTTGTACCTAGGTACAAATGTGAAAATTTAGACATTTTAAAAATACGACTATTAAAATTTCAAGTCTCCAAAATGATTTCTAATAAATCACATGGAACAAAATATGTCAATGGTACAATGCCAACAACATATATATTTTACTTACGTAATAATTTCTTTTTGATATTGTTCTGTCTTGGTGGTCATTTGTAATTTCCTGTTCATGAAACAATTTGAAACTGTACATTATAGAAATTTTTATAGTACTGACATTCACCATTCAGAATCAACTTTACATTCAAATGTTGAGTTGAAATAAAAAACTATTTCATTTATAGAAGACAAATATCTAGTATAACCCGACAAAATTTTAACTAATCAATTGATAATACAGAATAGACAAAATATGATTCAATATATAACAATATGTCAGGTGTAATATTTTGATTTGAACATTGAATGTGGAAATTCACTATAATCACAATTAACTTCTAGCTATTCATACTAAAATATACTAACAGTTAAATTATTTGTTGCTAATATACTATTTTATTTTAAATTGTTATGAAGACTAATATTAATGTAACATTTACTGGTATTTAAAAGCTCATATTCTTTGAGCACTTATATTTTACAGGGCACATGAAAGGAGAACAAAAAAATTAACTTACTTTTTAAAGTATAGAACTTGAAATCTTTATTAGAATGATAGCGTAACATACATTTTCATCATAGAACATTATATACTTGTATATTAACCACATACAACTTTTAAAATTGTCTATCGTTTCTGAACGAATTAAAATATTTCAAAAACAAAGGACAAAGAATTAATATTTAAGTATTGTTACCTAAAATTCTTTTTTGTAAATTAAAATGGTATAATTATAATGTAATGTAAAAAATTCAATAATTGGTTTTACGGTGAATATTTGATTATATAATATAAACTAATTTTATTTGAATAATAATTAAATTCTCAAATGTCCAATGACAATTAGATGGCATCTATGTCAACATCATCTTCATTATCATCCACACTGGGTTTAGCAACTGGTGGTGTGGGTTGTGCTTTCAATGTACTGGTGTGCACACGGTCGTTATACTCAATCTAAGAAATCATTTTTCATTAGCTAATGTTATAGAAACAATTATAAATAAACAAATTTCTTCAGTTATTGAGAATTTTACAAAGAGAATTAACAAAATAAGTGCAAATTTAGAAGTATGAAGAAAACATTAATAAAAATGTTTTTGCTAAAAATAAACTTATATCATTTATTTACTTCTACGTCATCATCACTGTCATCTCCACTTTCTTCTTCTTCTTCAGCTTCACGTAACCATGTTATGAACTGATTAGCATTATTATGTATTTCTTGACTGAGCTCTTTGGAGACATATTTCTTGCTAATCTTACTAGCCCAATCCAATAAGACAGCCTCTTCCAAAATATCAGCATCATAGAATAACTAGACACAAAAATAAATTAGTAATCTTCAACAAATAAAAATATTGAAATGTATACTCTAATATTAAATTAAGATTCACCTTTAATATAGCAGAAACTTTTGGCAACAAACTACCCTTATGGAGTCCAATTACTTGCTCAATGCCACCCAGTAAATATCTTTGAGCCTTTTGATCCTCATGACAAAAATGTAAGAACAAAACACGATGTTTCTTCAACTAAATACAATGAATCAAAAGCTTATTATTGAGAAGATTATTTAAAAATATTTTAATATTGAACACAATTATATTAACCTGCAAATGAATTTTCTCATCAAACAATAATTCAGCCAACACTAATGTAGCTTTACTTTTAACGTCTAAACGATCAGCTTCAGCAACAAGTTCTCTGGCAATAATAGAACCAGAATCACGTGCTTTCTGAACCTGTAAAAAATTATATTACGTTGGTAAATTTCCAAAATAAAGTTAAGTAATAATATATTTTTAATGGTTTACAGTAAAATACACACATGTAATAGCATTAATTTAAAATTTATTAAATACCTTGTTGTAAAATATATCCATTCGCTCTTTTTCAGTCTTATCTGTATCTTCATCGATGGTCAATCCTTTAGCTCCATCAGTTAAATCTTGCATACGAGCTCTTACTGCCTCTTCAGATACATCAACAGCCCAATTATCATAACCATCCTAAATATATTAAATATTTAATATTTTAATTAATTATAATTACATTAAAAGTTTTACATTATCTTCAGCCAATTTCTCTGGAGCTTGAACAATTAATTCAGAATTATTTTCTTCCGGAGAACTAGACCTTCCACCTTCACCATTTTCACCACCTTGTTTTTTAGAACGCCTGTTGCGTTTTCCCTCAGTTAATGATGATCCTTGAGCTGCTGGATTCAAATCTATAATATAAAAGTTTAAGTAAAAATTATATTATATTTAAACACAATATATAAATATTGTTTATAGGAATAAAACATACTTGGTGGATTCTTTAATATGTAAGCATTCAGTTTATGATTAGATTCCAAAGAGCCATAATATCCACAAGCTTTACAACCTTGATGTATTGTTCCTTTTCTAGTACTAATCATTAATTCAGTTTCAGGATTGTCACATTCGGGACACAATACATATTTCCGAATAAAACAATCCAAAAGATCCTTAAAACAATAATTAATTCATAACAATAATGTAGGGATCAAATAATTATATTTGTAGCATGAAGAAAATCACTTACTTGAAGTTTGCCAGCATCGTGAGCTCCATTTACAATAAATCTGTCATGTTTGAAATCAAATTGTGTTTGTGCACCCAGTTCACATCCAAAGAACTTAGTTGGATCTAATAAATTAATGAAAAATAAGTTATAAAATATTTATAAATAAAATAATGGTTTTTATTACATGTAGCAGGTCTTCCAATGGCTTTAGCTACTTCAGCCATATTGACAATGACTGTTTTAATGCCATTTCCTTTGCCTTCGACTTTAGCCATAAGTCGAGGCATTTTATACCGGTAGAATGCATCACTGACATTCCGATTCACGTTTACGCTACCCATAGCTGCAGCTGTAAAGTTCCTATATTAAGTATAACCCGTCACGTTTCCCTGAATGGTTGCGATTTCCTGTGTCGGTTGCAGCAGTATTTCAATGTCCTGTTCCAACAAATTTCTATAAAAATAAGATTTAAAAAGTAAAATTTCCAACCTAAATTTTTAAAATGGTTTTTTTTTTTATTAATTACCGAAAACTAAAACCTTGATATTTTAAAGAAATCATGCACCTTGTAGCAGGGCCAATAAATGGCTCTATGAGCTTTTTACAACTGCCAGATCTTGCTCTGGATAATGATGGCGATACTGAAAAAATAATAATTAATATTTCATTATTAAACAATACTCATTTTAATATACTTTTATTTTAAAATAATAAAAAAAAACTGATTGTTACTTAATAGTCCAATAAGATCAATTATTACATAAATAATTGATAACATATGTAGTACCTATATTATTTCAAAATCATATTTATTTTAAATCACTTCAAAGGGATAAAAATATTTGAATTAATTAAATTTGTTTTATCATATTACTTAAATATTTTATTAAAATAATGCTAGCAGAAAAAAAAATAATCATGAACAAGCAATTTAAAATATATTAAAATTAACAAAACGATTAATTTGAATCAAAGTTTATTAAATATTAATATTTCACTCTGCTCCTTTCAACATTTTATCAGGCGTTCTTCAAGGATCTCACTTAGCCTCATTGTTATTTTTATTATTCATAAATGATTTTTATTTTCCCAATTCTAATAAATTACTTTTTGCTGATAATATGAAAATCTTTCGGTTAATTAAATCACATTCTGATTCAGCTCTCCTCCAAATGATCTAAATACACTATCTACTTGGTGTAATTGAAACAAATTACCGTTAAATATTGATAAGTGCAAAGTAATGTAGTTTATTACTAGATCTCGCTCTCCAATTATTAATGATTATACCATAAATAATATTGTACTTCAACGCGTTTTTGAAATTTGCGATTTAGGGGTCACATTTAACTCAACTTTTTCTTTCAATAAACATTATTTAAACATAACAAAAAAAAACATCTACTACATTAGGTTTCATAAATAGAACTTGTAAAGATTTTACTAATTCCGATGCATTAAAAATTCTGTATTTTTCTCTGGAATACAACTAGGTTGTATGGTCACTCTCTAGTGTTGTTCATATACAAAGCTTAGAAGCTATTCAAAATCGTTTTCTTCGTTTTATCTCTTACAAATGTAATATACCACGTAAACTACACTCACAATTTACACCGTTATTAAACCAATTAAATATTACCAGCCTAATTGTAAGGAGAAAAAATCATTGATTTAAAATTTCTATATAAAATAGTAAATGGTTTTTTAAATTGTCCCGAATTAGTCAGCTGCTTAAATTTTAATGTTCTTCATTTTCGAACTAGATCTGCAAATACTTTTTACATTCCATTTTAAAGAACTAATTACGCACTTTGTTCACCTATTAATAGATTAATGAAAATAACTAATGACGTCCAAATAGATCTATTTAATTTTCCTTCTTTTGATTGTTTTTGTAACCATATTGCGTATCTATTAAATTATTTCTACCTATATTATAATTGTCTAAATTATATTTTTATAGTTTTTAATATTATTATTTATATATATACATATACTATTTACTGTCTTTCTTTTAAATAGGTAGATTTAAGTCTACAAAATTGTATTTAATTATAAAAAATTGTAATTGGGTTCTTCCCGTTTAAATAAATAAATAAATAAATAAATAATAAACATGTGATGATAATTAAAGACATCGGCAATGTTATTTACAATAAAAATAGTATTATAGAAAATAGATTTCGAACTATTTTCAACCAGAAATCTCAAAAAATTAACTCACCTATACGAGATAGCACCACCATATGTTTACGAGAGATTTTCAGTAATTTAATGTTTAAACTATAAATGGGTTTCAGATATCTGAAATCTATTTTGTTTTGGTATTTTCCAATGATGATGGCGAGTACGGTACGTATACGGTGACGATAAATATTTGCGATTATTACTGTAACGGTGAATAAGCAAATATGAGCCCTCGGAGCGGCAAGGCGACTACAGTGAAGTGTGCGGTATAAAATCAATATACCTACTGGTGGTCTGGAGGAGGCTCGAGCCAGTGACAACTCGTAGTTCGTGAGCATGCCCGAACACGCCGCCGAGTATTTTGTCCAGGTCAATAAATTACCAGTGCGGCACCACCCCTTATTGTTTCTTTGAATTTAAACTATGATATTATTTGCTTGTTAACGTGTTTTTTTTTTTTTTTTTATTAAACTTATTAATAAGGAATAAATAAACAGATTTCATGAAACACTGCTATGTATAAAAAAATATCAGATGCACTTAACTCGTTGCTGGGTAACGAACAGATCGCTATTTTGGGATATCGTTACGACGGGCGTATTTTATAATCCATATTTGAAAGTAACTATTATAGTATCAATCGTACAGATATAATTAATGTAAATTAACATTACAATTTACGAAGATCAATTAAAATTTTAAACAATTATCTACTACCACAATTTAATTTTAATAGTAAAATAAAATATACGGTCAAAATTACAGTAAGATCTTAAGAATTATGATGAATATTTCGTTAAAAAACATTTCTCTAAGAAACTACAACAAAATTGAAATTTAATAGTTTGCTTATATTTCGAATTTTTTTAATACTTTAATTTAATACGCAATAAAAAATTAAGTTTACGTAACAAAAATTACTATTATAAGCAATATTATACATTCTTTATAAATAATAAATTGAGTTACTTACTGGTTAATATTTACATACATTATTTTAATAATGTTAAAATTCAATATTAGATAATCAAAAAAGTGTTTTTGACAATAAATCAGTATTAAAAATAAAATAAGTTGAATGTTTTGTATAAATAATATCAATTATGTTTTTATTTTATTAGAAAATTTAACAAAATAATTGAAAACTCTAGTAAAAATGAAAAATTTATTGAAATGCCTGCATGATTACATGATTTATATTGATCTTTTTTTTTTTATTTTAAAATTAATATTTACAATCTGTATACATTTAGTTTATACAATATGTAAATTTTGAGGCTTTAAGTAAAAAAATAAAGACTTTGAGAGAAGGCGTCCAGTAACACCACTTCAAATTTCATTATTCATCAAAAGTTATTTGTTTAGTAGATCTCTAGGCCAGCATCGTTTTAATGGATGCAGTGGATTGATTGGGTTATTCAAAGAACAGAGATTAGAGATAAGTGTATTTTAATGGTTAGTTTTGGGTGTATGTAGTTTTTTGTAACATTGAAAGGTGAAATCAGACAGAGTTGGGATTTTTAGGTCATTATGAAGGACTGATTGCTGACAAATCAAGGAGCGCTTGTGATGATATGAGTACGTAAAGTTTATAGAATGGAGGGATTGGAGTATTTTAATATTTGACTTTTTAGCTGCTCCCCAAATTTGGATGCCGTAAGTCATGGTTGGTCTTATAACTTGCTTGTATATTAGAATTTTAGTTCTCAGAGGAAGTTTGAGCGTAATAAGTTTCTTAGAGAATGAAGACGTAAATTTAAAAATTTAAGTTTAGTTTTAATATGGTTTGCCCAATTGGATTTTTGGTCTAGATGGATACCTAGATATTGTCTTTTTGGGGAATTATGTTGTTGTTGATGGATAGGGGATGACTGTTAATAGAGCGTAGTGTGATGGTTATATAGCTAGATTTAGATTCGTTTATTTTTATTCTCCAAAGACCGAATCAGCTTTGGAGTTGTACTAGATGATCCTGAAGTCATTTAGAGGACTAATTGGGGTCCGAGTGGAACGAGATTATAGCAGTGTTGACAGCAAATGTGGCAATAAAAGTATCATCAGAGTGAGGTATATCCAAGGTGAAGATGTTATAGAGAATAGGAGCTAAAATGCTACCTTGAAAATACCAGCCATGATATATATGGTGTGTACAGAGGTGGATAGGTAGTTTTTTTGTTACAGGGAAATATTTTAATGGGGCCACCAAAATAAAAAAATAAATTTGTTTATAAAACATGTATTATATTTACTCATCCTAATTTAATTTAAATAACTATAAAAAAAAAAATGTCCATGATAAAATGAATGGTATCGAGGGGGCCATCGACATAATATAGGACGAGGGCCCACAAGGAAAATCCCTTTTTCCTTATGGGTCTATCCACTCCTGGGTGTACTGTGATGTATCATCTAGATAGCAGATCGCAAATATGTGACCGGTTAAGGACTTAAATATAAGAAATAAATGGGTGGGAAGGAAACGGATTTTATAAAGAAGTTTATCTCACTACACTCGGTCAAATGCCTGGGCAACAATGAAGAAGACAGCTTTGCTGTGATTTTTTGTTTCAAGGGAAGAAAAGATAATGTTATTCTATACACTTAGTGTAGAGTTGAGCATTTGTTTTTAAAGCTGAGTTGCGTATTAGGGATTATATTGATATCATTAATAATTGGGTAGATTCTTTTAAGGAGAACTTTTTCGAGGATTCTAGTGAGGGAAGGAAGAAGACTTATTGGACGATATGAGAGAGGAGATTTTGGGGGTTTAGCAGGTTTATGAATTAAAATTATGATGGAATGTTTCCAGGTTGAGGGGATGTGTGATAGACGTAGTATGGAGTTGTAAATGTAGGCAAGAAGAATTATTGCCTTTTTTGGAAGGTTTTGATCTTTTATTTACTTTATGATCGTATATCAGGTTTTTTTTCCAAACCAATACTTCCAGAATAAAGTATTAATATTGATAATTTTACAGTATCTAAATGAATATAAATTCTATGAATATATATTGATATGACATTATATATGAATATGTTCTCATATGATGGTAAACAAATTTGATATTGTCTCTTTTAGACATTATAATATGTAGCAGTTAAAAGTTCACTTTAGAACTTTGTTATCAATTATATTTTATTTACAATTAAGATGAATAAATATTGGTTAGCACTTTATTTTTACATTTCTTGAAAATATAAAAACGTTTTAATACAGATAAGATCTTTATAATTCACTTCACAAAAATACAATATCAATAGCGTGAGTAGGAAAAATATGTTATTGAATAAATTAAAATTCTTATTTATGAAGAAGCTATGGACTTTTTTTGAGATATAGGTACTTAATTAATAAACTAATTATAATCAACATGTTGAGATGAATCATTTTTAACATCCAATAAAAATCCTTATATATTAAAGAGTTTAATATAAATATTGATAATTCTTTATTCACAAATATTAATTTATGAATTAAAAATAAAATTGCAATTGTAATGGTCAATATTATTAAAATACTGATATTGACAGAATAATTAAATTATTTTTCCATTATAAAAACATAATCAGTAACATATTTATAACCCATTACCTACAAATACATTATATCTATTGAAAATAAATCAAATTATCTAATCATAAAAATAATAATTACAATCTTTTTTTTTAAGTCATACCTACCTACCTATAATAGAGTATGATAAAACAAAGTTAAATAAAATCACAAGATTATATAACACCCAGTTAATTAGCAAATATTAATCTAGAGTAATAATTACTTTGTATATCAACTATTAATCAGTTATTCAAATGACTTAAAGATAGCATATTGTAGTAGAGAATATAGGAACTATTTAATATCTAATTAAAATGTAATTTTAGTGAAACTAACATAGAGGTACCTAAAATAAATATTTAGAGGCTATAAAACATAATTGAAAATATTAGGTAACTAATGATATTCTACCACGGAATGACAAAACTATTATTCATAAAGTACCCAAAGTGTTAATAGAACATATATCATAGTGTGTTTTCATGAAATCGACCTGGGCATCAGAAAACAATTGAACAATTGAAAACATTGTAGATATTAAACAATGGTTGATAGTTAGGCAGGCAATAATTTTAACGGTTGAAAAATCAGGGAAACACGAGTGTACACCTGATTAATTTCTTGGTGCGACAAACTACTTTGTTGAAAGAGTGAAAAAACGCGAATGCCACGCGCGTCGATCGGATGTTACGAGGTACATTTATTACAGTACGGGAAGAATAAAAGTTCATGAAAGGCGCAGACGATTGTCGCGTGTCGAGTTTAATTGAGAGTTAATTTATTTAAATTTAAAAATATTCAATGGGACGTTTACACCGGTGATATATGGGTGGAATGTAAATATTTAAGAAGGGTGGGGGAAGGAGAAAAAAAAATCCAAGCATGTAAAGCGAAAACTTGCTCGTCCATCGAAGGAGACCCGGGAGGAAGGGGGGAGCAAACACGTGAAACATATGGCGGAGAGATGACTTCGTAATGTGACCCCTATTAATATATTTATAGAACACCGACCGATACACGTCGGCTACACGGATGTTCAAGGTTACTGTCGGCGGAATTCACGCACGCCAGGTACAGCGACGAACATTCACGAAGACTGTAGTAGTGCACACTTACCCGTGTCGAGAAACTTCATATAAATGGTGTCACCCCTCTGGGACGCGGGAACGGTGATGAAATGATTAGCGAATATCGTTCGCTTCCGTCGACTCGGCCAAAGCTGCGGAGGGGAAAAAAAAAATCTCGTCAAAGAATATTCATATGTATTGTGAAATGTATGGGTGCGTGCTCGACGCGATGACATAATAATAAATATATAATTATCGATCGTGGAGCGGGGAAAAAAAAGTTTGCCCGATAAACCGCGGCGGTGGCGACTGACACGGGTAACAGTTCGCGGGTCGCACCACAACTCACATCGGTGCCTTTGGCAAGCCTCGAGGAGACACGGGTTCCTGTTGCGGGAACCGTTTCGGCGGGCTCGTCGAAAGTGCTGGTGCTGAAACGGTACGGCGCAATATTGCAAAATTTGCACGGCGTTTCGGTCGGTAGAGAGGTAATGTTGCTGATCGCAACACACAAGAGAGAAATGAACGAGAAACCGTCGGAACGAACACTGCTCCAGAACGGTTGGCGGACACGATGCGATAGGCGACGGCGGCGGTGCGAAATACGATGTAACGTCACGGCGGCCACGCGAAATCGTACTTGTCGTCGGTGAACACTGTAGCGTTCGGAGAGGTGTTGTCGGCAGGGTGAGCGGGTGGGGATGACGATGAAATGCCATTCGACAAGCGGGCTGAGGGTGCACGGGCTACGTGCGCGCACGATGCGACCACGACGACGGCGGCGGAGTGACACGGAGCAGCCAACGCGACGTTGCGCGTGGTGCTCGGTTGGCCACACTGCTCGGGGCAACCGGGCGGTTCCTCGTCGTTATCAGCTAATCCGTCGCACGCACTCGCCGCGATCGGCGGCCCCCGTAACCCGTTTAGTCCGTTCGCAAACCACCAGCCGTATACGTACAGCGCGCGCCCTATGTTTACGCACGCTCAGGCACGTTCACGGTACGTCAAACTGCATATTGTCGTCATATTATTGCAATAATACGCGTGTAACGGTACAAGCATAACGTTTGTATCTAGTTTTTTACCACCTCGAAATCGTCCATAACCCGCAACGCACCGACCGTGGTGTCCGGTTGATGTCCTAACCGGTGGTATCCGATTGAAGAGCAACGACCCGCGCGTGCAGTATTATGACCGAGGTGGCTAGGAGAAATGACGCGGAAACGCAGCCGGACAATGGGGTGAGAACATGACGTATTAATAATTTATTTCAGTCTCTCGGCGGTGGACACGAGAACTTGGCCCGCTGTCGGGAGGCGCCAAAGATGCACTTTAATTTTAAAACTGCAGGAAAAACGATAGACATGGATAACGTCAGTGGTTTCATCCTTTTTTTCTGCTTCACGATTTTTATTTCCTATCCCTTAATTATTGTTACGTACCCAATTAATTATACAATTTTATTCCGGGACATTTTGATGCTGTAAAAGATTTCGTTATTATTCATATGATATAAGCTTGCATTTTAAGTATTTTATCTGAAATTTTCCCTATTGGAATCGGTTTTATATATGTTTGATATTGTATTCCCATGAAAAGTAATTTCGAGAAAATGTATACATACATAATTAAAATTGTTCAAATTATTGTATATATTTACTTAGTTTATGTATAATATTTTACTAGAAAATTCAATCACATCTACTCACCATAGTTGTTCCTATGAGCTGGTGTAATCATCTGATTATTCTACATTATATCTTCATTTTTTGTGGTTGCTCCTGAACTACCTTGGTCAACCCCTTTCTCATCATTCCCCTTGATTTTTCCTTTAAATAATTACCTAAAGTTTTATCCCATAATCCCACGTTTTTATAAATTTTCCCAATATATTTGTTTTATTGAAGCTTATCGTATTTCTATGATAAGCTATTGCTTATTAATATTTAGTTTGTTTATTGTATATTTTATTGTGTAGCTTATGTTTTTTACTTTTAAAATTAAAAAAAATAATTTAATAATATTCAGATTGATTTATACAAAAAAAGAAAAATGTTATTAACATTTCGTGCATATTCCTACCCAGTAGAATTATTTATAAATTAAATTGAACTTAAAATATAATATTTAAATTTATATTTGTTTTATATTTTAAAGGCTGGAGAAGTGGAACCAACACAGGGTGATCAACAACAACCCCAACAAGGACGATTTAATATGTTTTTTTCTGTTGTAAAAACATTAATTGTTCGATCACTAATTATATATTTTATTACAACAATGTTTAAAAAACCAGCTGCTGTACCTCCTGATGGCGTTGCACCTGTTGTTGATTCAGTTCCAAATACCAATCTCTTTGAATATGGTACATATTTTGTAAGTATACATGATTTTATTAAATTTTAAACAGTTAAACATAATGTAAATCTGTACTAAATTTTTTGTATTTTATATTTATAGGATATGTATGTGTATTTATCAGAAGACAGTTATATGAGTGAAATAGATGATAAAGAACTTATTTGGAAAAAAACTGATTTAATATATGGAGACTGGGATTCAGGCCCTAATAATGATGGTACCTATTCTATTCAAACATCATTTACTCCATCCAAAGTATAATTTATAATACTAAATAAAATTGAATTTTCCTATGGTATAAATTTATATTTTTATCTTTTTTAGAATTTGCAAAATAATGGATCAATTTATTTACATGTATATTTCATTAAAAAGACTAGTAAAAATATAAGTAAAAAAGATCCATTTGTGGTACATGCATCTAAACAGTTGAATAAGTTTAAAAAAGTTAAATTTTTAAAAACTCATAATTTACTAACTGGTGAAACATCTGCCACTCCAGAACAAATTGAAGTAAATGAAAAATAATTAAATATCAGTTATTAATTAGTAATCATTTATCTTAATGTATTTTAAATACAAAATCTTTTTAAAAATTACTTGGTATTTAATTCAATATCAAAACTAAAATTTGTATTTTGACATTGTGAAAAAAACCGATATTATAAATCGTATGTATTATAAAAATTTATGAAAACTAAAGTCTGGCCAATTTCCTTCTTTTTTTTTTTTTTTTTATATACAATGAAAGGTATTTAGACATAGATATGTCATCAATCATTGAAATTTACTCAACTTTACTCAAGTTATACTCAAACGCTATTCTTCCCTGTACCATTTCCTATGGGACACATTCACTCAAGCAATTTGAATCCTTATAACTCCTCTTCTAATGAATGGATCTTGATCGTTTTACTCTCAGAACACTCAGTGGATCAAGTTCTTTCTTTTGGGCTATTAACTGCTTAAATTCATTGTGTTTGAAGAAAGTTATGTGTGCACAATCAACTTTACTTTCAATTTTTTCCAAATACTGCATTCTCATTGGCTCTTACCCAGTGATATAACAATAAATAACTCATAAACAATACTAATATTATTACTTATATTAGTTAATATTGTCTAGAAGGAAGCACTGTAAAATTATTTTATGTAATAATTACACCCTCTCATACATAGTCTATCCTAATGCTGCGGAACATATATTTTAATAAACACTCTCTGTCATTTCAATATATCTTTCAATTTTCGATATTATATTCATTTATTTATTTATTAAAATGTGTTTATGTATTGATTCAATTGCACCTATACTTTTTATTATATAAATAAATTATCTATTGCAAATTTTCACAACGGGTATACTTGTATACTTTATTCTGAACTTGTTTATATTATTTTAGAAAGCAGAAAAAATTGAGACTGAAATAGTATCACACTGGCATCCAAATCTTACTATTTGTTTAGTAACAGATCAAACAAATTGGACTAAAGGATCTCTTCCCCAACCATTTAGTGAATGTAAGTTAAAATATTGAGTAATATAACATTTTATTTGTATATGAATTTTATTTTATTTTTTTTTTTTTTTGTATAGATCTAGAATTTTTACCAAACCATCGATATAAGCCTATGGTTTATTTTAATGATTTTTGGAATATGCTCAGGGATTACCAACCAATAAATGAAACAGTAAAGTAAGTATTATTCATTTATAATATTTAATCATCAGATTTATTTGTATGTCCATTGTAATTATATAGACAACTGGACTTAACATTAACATTCCAACCATTGTCATTATTTAAATGGCAAATGTTTTCGGCTCAAACGATGCGAAATAAATGGACTTCTGGATTCCTTGGTGATACTTTTGGATCCGAAAGTAATGAAGATGATCAAGATCAGGATTCGTTAAAAGAAGCTTTACTGGAGACATCTCCTTATATTCTGGCTGCTACAATCATTGTATCTATATTACATAGTGTTTTTGAATTATTAGCATTTAAAAATGGTAATCAAAAATTATTCATTTAAAACTTTGAAATGACTTTTTTTTCTTATCAAATTAAAAATATTGTAGATATTCAATTTTGGAAAGAACGTAAATCTTTAGAAGGTTTATCTGTACGTGCAGTATTTTTCAATGTGTTCCAATCTCTCATTGTACTACTGTATGTACTTGATAATGATACAAACACTATCATCCGTATTAGTTGTTTTGTTGGTTTAGGTATTGAATGTTGGAAAATCAACAAGGTAAGTCAACATTGTCAAAAGTTACAAAGTTTTGTTACTATTAATTAATAAATAAACATAGTATTTTAAATATGTATTTAGGTGTTGGATATAAGTTTAGATAGACAATCAAGGTACTTAGGTATTATTCCAAAAATAACCTTTAAGGAAAAAGGATCCTATGCTGAATCCAGCACAAAAGATTATGATCGATTAGCCTTTAAATATTTATCTTGGGTATTGTTCCCTCTTCTTGCTGCATATGCTATTTATTCGTTAGTCTACGAAGAACACAAAGGATGGTATTCTTGGGTGCTCAACATGTTATATGGTTTCTTGCTTATGTTTGGTAAATTTTATTTATTTAATTTAAGTATTATATTAAATGTATATAAATATGTAATAGTCAACTAAATTATGATATTAATTTTATTATAGGTTTTATTACAATGACTCCGCAATTATTTATTAATTACAAACTTAAATCTGTTGCCCATCTCCCTTGGAGAATGATGTCATATAAGTGTTTAAATACATTTATCGATGATATATTTGCATTTGTAATAAAAATGCCAACTATGTACCGTTTGGGTTGTTTTAGAGATGGTATGTAAAATACAGAATTGTAATATTGTGAAGTATCAAAATCTAAACTGTTATTAATGATTAAAAAAAAAAAAAAATTTCAGATGTTGTATTTTTCATATTTTTATATCAAAGATGGATATATAGAGTAGATCCTACGAGAGTAAATGAATTTGGATATGCTGCTGAATCACCTGAAGAACAGCCAGAAGCTATTGAAGGAAAGAAAACTGAAGATGACAAAAAGAATGATTAATATAAACCAACAGTTAGTAGATACCTTTTTTATTTATATAATGTATCAAACAAACATAAAAAAAAAATTGAAATATAACAGTTTAAGTAATGTACTGCTTTAGTAATTTAATGATCTTTAAAGATCAACTATTATTCTATTATAATTGTGAGTTCTTATGATTATATTAAGGTTTTTTTTTTTTGTTATAGTTTTTGTTAAAAGATATGGTACCTAATTTAAATAATGATTTATAAGGTAAAGCATTGAAAATTACATTATTTTATGTCTGTATTTTATTGTTATACTTAAGGGCTGGAAGTTCTTGCTTTTAATTTATTTTAAGTAATTATGCATTTGTTTGTTAATGAACAATTAAATTAAAAAACTACAATTTTTTTATTTTACAAGATTAGTTTTACAGTGTATAATTACTAACAGTTTTCTAGTTTTATAGTGTACAATTAGTAAACAGTTTTCTTAGGGAAGCAGCTTGCTAAAATTAATAATACTTACGTTTGGTTTATTTTTGGTTTTTCATTTAAAATTAACTAATTTGATTATGTATTATCAATATTTTTATAATTTATTTTACCGTTGATTAATTGTAAGTTATAACAAATGTTTATTTTTCTATTTTAAACTGCATGAACATCCATAGCCTAGTATATACAAATTAGTATAATTTTGTTATACATTAATTAGTCAAAATATAATTTTGTTGAACATAATGTATTAGATTTTCTTTTTATAATAATGGAGAAAAAAATAAAGCAATAATATTATACTTAAGCCCACAAGAGAAAATTCTACTTGGAAATCAACAAGTTATGATCTCTAACAATAAAAATGTACTTTCCTCTAAAAAACTGAGTAATACAGGTTCCTCGTCTTGTGGGCCAAAATATAGTTAAATATAATTTTATTTAAATTCTGTATGTGTATGATATTTTTACGCTGTACTAATTTGTTTACTAGCGAGTAATATCAAGGTATCATTAGGTTATTTTAACCAAAAATCGTTATTGTATTATTTTCAATGAAACATTTAATAAACCGAATTAAATTTTAAAGAAGTATTACAGCTTTTTAATTTTGATTTTCAATCATTTTGAGCATTATATAATTTGATGAAATATACAGTTTATTTATATACATACAAATTATTAATTTAATTTCAACATATAATAATTGTAATTATATTTTATATCTTTCTGGCATTTTTAGTGTTTAACATTTAAATTGAATAATTATTGTACACCTAAAGCTTTAAACCTAATAATTCAAATATTTATGCAGTATTAATTAAACATTTTGTATCACAATATGTTATACTATATTGTCTTTTGAATATAAATGTATATTTATATTTGTGATATATTACTTTAAAAATATACTTATACTATTCATAAAAATGGTTTAATTTTTATGAATGCTGTGAATTAAAATTGAAAATATACTATTCTACATGTCATGCCATCTACAGTATATATTGCAAACCTGATTTTTATGAATATTTATTCTAGAAATTGCTTAATCATGCTAATCTTTAGAGCTAATTTACCAATGTACTATTTTAAGTTAAAAAAATTATAATATATTAAAATATTAGAATTGGGATGTTACCTAATTCAACATTTGCTTTTTAAATATTACTATCTAAATATGAGATTGTAGGTTAAATTATTTTTTCTATTTGATGCTTTGTATAATTTTTTATCTTTCACTCATTTTATGGACTAGTGACTTTAGTTTTTTTCAATAAATCTTATAGAGAATACAGAAAAAAAATCATGTTTGTCAGGAAACATGTTCATCGATTAAATTGATTGGATGTATGCATTCAGTGGAGTATGAATTACATTATATTATAATTAAAAACGTAACTGCTGATTGTCACAAATACTTCAAATGACATGTCCACATCTATAATTATAATATTATACGCCATGATTTGAATTGAATTCTTAAATTGTGTTATATACACGGTGTATCAAAAGTCTTCATCCAATTTCAATAATTTATATTTATATTAAAAATGAAGATATAAGGGTGAAATAAAATAAAATATATTCTTAAAATAGTCAAGTTTTATTTACTTTGGTTACAAATGTTTTATATGACCCCCACCGGCTGCCCGACTCACATCTATACGGTAATCAAATTCTTCTCAAACATTGCTGATCATATCTGGTGTCGCAGCATGCTGTAATCTTTGATTTTTATTTTAAGCTCTTCCAAGTTTGTAAGTAATGGTGATACATACATTTTATCTTTTATGTAGCCCCATAAAAAAAATCACACATTGTGAGATCAGGGTAACGTGGTGGCCAGGGATGAACTTCGAATGAAACTTTGTCGAACATGTTCGATGTTTTCGTCAAAGGTACGAGGTCGACTTGAGCGTTTCTGTGCACACAGACAACCACTTTATTGAAACGTCTGGTGCAACGTCGAATGATTTGAGCAGTAGGAGCTTCAGTTCCCTAAGTTCTTAGTTTTTCGAAAATCACGTTGACAGTTAATGCCGACTCGTACTTATTGAAACGTAGGACGCAAAACGCTTTTTGTTGCGGAGTCGTCATAACGAAACAAACTAACGGTTCCTAGTTCACTAACCATTACGGTGCCAAATTTATCAACTTGATAACTTAAAATAAACTTAGTTATCTAATCTTTCCATTAATACGTCGGTCATTAACCTGCGATTAACCATTGCCAAACTATATCAATTCGTAATCGGATGAAGACTTCTGAAACACCGTGTATTAAAATTTGATTGCTCATTTTGTAGGGAATATAATAACAATCTAGTCTAATATTGTAATTAATGGATCTAATCATGGAGTAATATTTTATAATTACTCTGTGATCATAATTAATTCTTAACATTAAATATCAACTTGTTATTGCAATCCATAATTTTTTTCTAGGTCGATCATGTGTGCGATTTAGGAATTTAAATGTTTTATATTATCAATGTACCGATTTACTTAATTTTTTTTTTTTAATTTTGTATTTAACATATACAAAAATTATAAACTATCATTAATTTATATGTTTCCAATTTGTTTAATACTACTTTGAGGAATTTTAGAAGATAAATTTAAAAATTGTGAAGCCGATCTTTTTTTTTTTTGTTTTTAATTTGTTTTATTAAACAATTTGTAAATATATTATTTTTGCAATATGTATAACTGCTGTATAGGTTGAAATAGAATAAAAAAAAAAATAAAAAAAAAAAGGTACTGATGACTTGAAGGAAGAATCCATCTAGCGATGGAACTTCTTGACATTGTGAATGGGTTTTATTCAATTAGGAGATCCCAACACCATTTGCGTCTTAAACGTCTTCTGGGATCACCTGGGATAGTGAGGTCAGATAAGTTTGTGATTAGAGGATTGCGGTAGTTGGAGAGTTTTGAGTGGAATCGTTTATATAGAGTTTTGGCTACGTGTTATACTGTTGGAATGGAGAGATCATTATAGAGTGTATCGTTTGTGATATAGAAGGGGGCTTTAGTAATTTGTTGAAGGCATTTGGATTGGAATGTTTGAATTTTCTTTATATTTGATATTTTGGCCTAACCCCGAAGTTGTATACCATATTACCATATGGGTTTTAGTAATAGTTTATATAGAAGTATTTTGTTGCTCAGATTGATGTGTTTAGAAGTTAGGAGGAGACGTAGTTGACGGGATCGGTTATTCAGTGCGATACGTTTGGTATGGATGTGATGGGCCCAGGTCAGTCGACGGTCTAGGTGAAGGCCGAGGTATCGGACATTTTGTGTGGGTGGCATGGGTAGGTTATTAAGGGTTATAGTAGGGCAGTTTCATGGTCTTAAAGTGAAAGTGCAGTGGGCGGATTTTAATTCGTTTATCTTGATTCCCCAGTCTTTATACCAGGTTTGAAGTAGATTTAAGTGGAATTGAATGAGGTTTGGAGGCTATTTCATGTTCTGAGATAAGCGTCATAATGGCTTTGTCATCGGCAAAGTCACCTGTGATTGTATGGTTAGTTGTTGGTTGGTCGGAGGTGTATTGATTGAATAAAAGTGGGGCTGCTACGGCACCTTGAGGAACTCCAGCATGAATGGGATTTTAGGTGAGGATTTTAAATAGCGTATAATTCGATACCAGATAGAATGTTTTCCGTTTGTTTTTGATAGATACGAGGATAATCATCGAGCGTCGGATAAATACGTACGCACAGTTGGACTGTCCTCGTGGGAATGGGAAGCAGATCTGAAGTAAATTTTACAACAAATTCAAAATCCTTAATGTATCAATTAATCAACCGGCACGTTGGAAATAGTAAACGTCTAAATCCCATAAAGTAATAAATTTTTATGTTGCGCATGTGATAGACATAGACAAAAAACCATAGACCTATGAATAGTCTTGCCTTTCATCCCGGTTTGATCGGGACGTGTCCCGGGCGGTCATTCAGTTTGTTCTAGTTCATAGAAGCTGAGAGAAAATAAAATTTAATATTATATTATTTAATAATAAAATATAGAATAATACTGGGATACATAAAAGGATACATTTATTTTTATTTCCGAATGAACGTTCCAAAAAAAAAAAGTCATTCAATATGGTGACTCGATTTAGTGATTTCAAAATCTGACAATCCTACCTTTAAACAAGCCCATGGCAGAAAACTATAGCTTATTATTACGAAATATAGCTTATCAGAGGTGATTTGTTATCACAACTACACAAACGCCAATGATGTATCCAATTCATATTCCATACGTTTTGAGTCATGCTGAACACTTGACACTTGACTGTGAAGTCGCAGAAAAGTCAAGGTAGATGAAATCATACAGAATACTGATGAAACGCATAAGCGTGCGCACGGGATAGTCATGGTAGGCACTTGACTACTCTGCGAACTTTCCTCTCACAATATTCAATATTATTATTTATTATTATGATAATTGATAGTCATTTTATAACTTAGATGTGACTATGAATATATACGTAATATGTATATGTTTGTGTAATGTGTTAAATATGACTATCCTGCCAGGAATTCTGTGCACGCTTATGATGAAATGGATTTAAGTTTAGTGTAGTTATTCTGCTCCAACTGGACAGCGATTACGACAGTACCAACCCAACTGTTTAGTTGATACAACGGACATCATAATTAGTAATAACTGCTCATTACGGTTATTGTAATCGATGATTTAAAAGTCAGTTCTGCCGAGAATTAAGCACGTTGGATGATAATATTAATCATTAGATACCGTTTACGTTGAGCCTTAATATGTCTGCCAAGGTAAGAGATACCGGTTGAATATAAATGTAAAGCTTGTTCGTAAAATTATTGTCTGCTGATAACTGCATCGCAATGTGACAATATAGTACTGTAGTAATGATATAAAATAAACATAATATTTACCCTTGTATATGAAAGTATAAATATACTCAATGTTGAGGGTTGTGTTACCGATAAAGTAAAAGTTATAGTTAAATTCCGAAGTAATTACAACATCAGTTGACGGATAAAATACGGCTGTTTGGGAAAAAAAACATTTCATAGGCGAAGCCAATGAGTGAATAATATGATTTAAGGTTCATGTTAGCGAAATTTAGTATTGCAATTTAAATACTATAACTGTAGTTTGAGTAAAAGTGAAAATAAGATTTTGACTTGAAGATATGAATTAAGACTGATGAAACAAAAATTACTTAGGAATCAAGGATGTTGTGGAAAAGAAATCTTTAACATTTTTTCATTAGTAATTAATGTTAAATTTACAAAACGTATGGAGAATTTTAGCTGTAAATATATCCTATAGAATCATTATTAGTAATTATTTAATATTATTTTATAGTTAGAATTTGCTGTTCAAATATCATCTTCATTATGCGCTGATAAAGTACTGGATAAACTGAACCAAAATGGAATTTCAAAATCTGACGTTCAAATATGTTATAAGACTGGAACAGTCATTGTCAAATCAGATCTACCATCTTCCTTAATTCTAAATGCTATTGAAAAGAGTGGTTACAAAGCTGTACTGAAAGGATATGGAAGTAGTAATTGTAAGATTATTAATTATGTTTTTTGTATAGATACTCTAATCATTGATTTTAAAATAATATGTTTATTTTATTTTAGATGACGTGAACTTGGGAGCTGCTGTTGCTATGCTATGTAATTCAACAGGTCATAGTGATTCGGGTATAAATGGTGTTGTTCGATTTATTCAACTTAATGAAAATGAATGTTTAGTTGATGGTACAATTGATGGATTATCGCCAGGAAAACATGGGATTCATATTTATGAATGTGGAGATTTATCTAATGGATGTGAAAAGTGTGAATAATTTATTTTAGAATTTAGACAAGTATACATTTTTGATTTTTATCTTTTCCAGTATCGGAGAACATTTAAATTTTGGTCAAACACTACATGGAAATCAAACTGATGATCCAAATAATAGGGTATAGTCTATAAATATACTAATTATTATTATTTATAAAATATAAGTTTAATGTATTGCTCTAAGATATTTTATATCAAGTTTACCTATTTAATAACTTTTTATATAAATTGTAACATTTACTATTAGTCGATATTTTAACATTATTTTCATTTATGTTACAGCATACTGGCGATTTAGGAAATATCACTGCTAATGAAGAAGGCCGAGCTATATTTTATTTTAAAGATAAATTAATAAATGTATCAAACTTAATTGGTCGATCCATTGGTATAACAGAACACGAAGATGATTGTGGTAGGACTAGAATCAATAAATCTGAAATTGATGGAAACAGTGGGAAAAAGTAAATATCATAATTGTAATTGTTATAAAAACTACACATTGACAGAAAACTTGCATTTTCTTAGTACTTGAAAATTTGTTGGTACTGAAAGAGCTATACTGTTGAAGCAGTGATAGTCAAAGTAGGCAATTTGTAATTGGTTAGTAATTGTAAATAGGTGTCTGAGAATGCATGAACTACTGTTGAATTGTTTATGTGAGCTTCAAGTTAGTTTTCTACTAATTATAAAATCAAGATATTTAACTGATAGTTGAGTGAAGTATAATTTTGTAGTTGTGCTTTATACCTGAAAATTTTCTTTGTACTGTGATTGGACTCAAAAGTAAATGTAACATAGTATATTTGGTTTTGTTGATTTAATTTTACTCAATTTTGAACAATTGTGATTAGACATTCTGATGAGTTAGAAATAGTTGACAGACTTCAACTGGCAACAAGTTAGCAGTGTGTACATTGTATACTGTTCCAATTAGTAAATTATTTTTAGGATGTCTAAACTAAAATTATATCGAGAAAATATCACATTTTTAAGGAACAGCAGTGGAATTTGGTACAATCCAGTAGTGTTTCAAAAATATTTCAAAAGTAATTTATTCATTTATAAAAACAAGTATGTTAATATGATTAATAATATGTAATTGTTTTATTATTATATGTTGAACGAAAAACTAATCCATCTTTAGTTTACTTATAAATGATTTTATTTTTCATTCATAAATAAAATTATCATATCAAACAAGTATTTACCTTAAAATTGAGTTCTGTTGATCATAGACATTTTATAAGTCCATAGTATTGATATCTAATTTAGACTTCATAGTTTATTAGTTATAATCAGAATTTGGGACTTATAGCACTTAAGAGCACAATAATAAATATAAAAATTCTAAAAATATGCATTTAATATATTTATTATGAATAATTATTAATTAGTTTAACATTCATATAAAATTTAAAAAAATATTTATAAATTTAAAATTATAAAGTCACAAATAATAATAAAATTGTTTAAAAATTACTCAATTTCTTGATGTTTAAAGGGAATCCTTTAGTTTCATATGACCGTTTTATTGTTACATTGTGTGATACGGGTTATCATATTTTCTAAGAATGAACTAATTTTTCTAATACAAAAACTATAACAAGTTGCGAATTGTATATCACAAATATGTAGATACAAATTATTGCATTAAAATTTTATTTTTTCAATCAGAAATAATTTGTATAATTTTTAAATTTAAATAATTAATAATAAATGTGCTAAACAAGCACTTTTCTGCAAAATCTATCAAATATACTAAATCAGGGATGGGCAACTCGAAGTTACTAGAGGGCCAATTTTTAGAAAATTTAAATCTAGCGAGCCAGAGCATAGAAAAAAAAAGTCATTAAAAATTTAAATTTTAATTAGTATTTATATATATGGAAATAATAAATTCAACACATACGATAGCATAATCCGAATGATACGAATAAACTGATATAGTTAAATAGTTTAGTAACAGCTATGGTTGAAAGCCATACTTATACATACATATAACATTTAGATATTTAACGATGTTTAATACTAGATAACAATTATTATATTGATAAGTTAAAGCATAGATGATAAATTTTAAAATTGTATGATGTAATTTTAAAATATATTAAGGGCCAGATAAAAAAGCTCACGGGCCGCCAGTTGCCCACCCTTGTACTAAATTATGCACATTCAAATTTTAGATTTGAAATCATGTTATTTAGAAATCCATTTATTTTGTATACTGCTGTATTTTACAGTAAATAACAAAAGTATGCAAATTATTTAAGTCCTAAACCTACATTTTAAATAAACCTACAAATTAATCAATTATTTTCTCTTTATACTTAGTTCTTTTAATTGTCAAAAATTATAACAAAATGTATATTTATAATAATTTTAAAATGCTTGGTTGTTAAAATATTACCTTACATATAGTTTAACTGATTAATATTTTTCAGAATTGCTTGTGGTATTATTGCAAGATCGTCTGGTTTGTTTGAAAATAGTAAAAAAATATGTGCTTGTGATGGTGTAACATTATGGGAAGAAAGAGATGTGCCACTTGCTGGACCCGGGAGACAGAGAAAAAATAATAATTAAAGGTTTACTTGGGTTTGAAAAAAGTATATTATACAGGTGATAAAGATTTGAAATTAATAAATGTTATTATTTTAGTAATAAAAAAAAGTGCAATGGTTAAGTTATGTGTATATGGTTAATAAAAATAAAATATTTTTATAATTCTGAGTAGTGTATGCTTAAATTATAATTTCCTTAAAATAAAATACATATGTGTAAATTTAACAATAAATTGTACGATACATTGTATGATTTATTATATCTGAGTAAAATCGTGATCAACAGTATTAGAGGTTGCAGTTGATGGTTCGAATGTCATTGTTTTCATGGCCTCAGTAACAAGTTGTTGTATATTTTTCGGTAAAGTATTCATTTCATTAGGATATTCATCAAAATTATTAGCTGAAAAAAAATATACATATGTTAACACTGTGTTTCTCAACCGGTGTTACATGGATGCAGTGTAGGGATGACACAAAATCTCTACTGGAAAAGGAAAAAAACAAGGAAATATTTAATTTTTATAAAATCATATTATTACCACAACTTTCAAGTAAATAGCATACCTTAAAGTTTGTATCTTTATATTATTTAGTTCTGATAAGCATTAACGCAAGATCACTGCATTATCGATTATTTTATGACTTAACCAGGGTTGTCAATCAGTTATTTTGCAGTTACTTGATATGTAGTATTATTATAGTATATTATAGCTCTACAACTCTAGAAGACTATATGAGACTCAATATTTCTACCATTAGCCTTCGATTTCCTCAACTTTGTATAAATCACAGAAAGGGCTCAATTTCTTATAAGTTTTTATACAAATCATTAATATATTTTTTTTTAATTTGCAAATTTAAACTTTAAAATGTCAATGTTTATTGAACCTTCAACTCAATAAATTGTAGGTGTACTTATTATTTTTATGTGTTCCATATTTTTTTTTTTTTTTTGTTCAAGAATTATTCTAAAATACACAGTTAAGATTATTTATTATTTTGATGTTAAGGTGACGCAGTGTTTGATTCTAGTGACTAAAGATGACATGAATGAGAAAAGGATGAGAATCACTACGTTAACATATAAATTTTTTAACTTAAAATTTCAAAAATGTATGGCATTTGATGGTGCAAACCAGCGATTTCCAAACTGTGCACAGCGAGCACTTTAAGAGGGCACCATGGTCTACGGTTCATAACATATAGTTTAAAATGTATAGAATATTTTTTCCTTATTTTTTTCGTAAAAACTTTATAGCAAATAATGAAATATTTTCTTCATTAAAATTTAAAGTTCATTAATTTATAATTAAGTTAAATTTTAAAAAAAATTAATAAAATTGGTTATCAATGAGTTTTTTTTTGTTCTGTCTTTCATGTTATTTACAGCAGGGCACCGAGGCTAAATTGAGTCCAAAAAAAGGCACCGTGAAAAAAAAAGTTTGGGAACCGCTGGTGTAAACTATAAATATTTGAATTTACTATCATTATTAGCAAATTAAAAAAATATAAAAGGTGAATTAAATATTACTTTGATAAAATAAAAATTAATAGTCTTTGAAGGATAGAAATTGAACCAAAAATTTTGGAACATTATTAATACAGTAAATTATTTAAAAACTTACATTCAATTGCAGGATCATCTTCAGAAATTATACAAGGACTTGGTTCTAAAAAATTATACAAAAAATGTAAAACAATGTACTCAAATAATTGAAATAATATTAAAAATATTAATGAGAATCTCAATAACTCAAAATTCCCTGAAATTAAAATTGAAAATCCTATTCAATTTCTTTATTCAAATTTAAATCAGTTACCATTTCTGAATATATGAGAAAAAACTCTTATTAATTTTAATAATTACAAGAACATTGTACAAAAGCTATTCTTTGTAAATGTTTCTTTGTAAGTCCACTATAGACTAAAAATTACTCGATCAATTTAAGTATTTGTTGAAAAATATTTAGCTATTGAAATTTCTTGATTTGGATAGATGTAGACATACCAGTAGTTTTGGGTTGAATACAAATAAATACTTGTAAATATTTTTTGAATATTTTTAATTGTATAGGAACCAAACTTAACAAGTTCAAGCTTTAGTGTTTCTATGAAAAAAATTTGTCAGAGTAGTGTGACATGGTATACATTTTGTTTTTTCAGTATTTAAAACAAAATCTCAGACAAAGCAATTATGTATATTTATTGATATTATAATGAATCAAGGGAATTTTGTTAGCTATCCAATGGCATTATTGAATTTGTTGATTTTCCAAGAATAGCACCGCTAGTTATAACATTAAAATGGATGTGTCTATCATTTTTTTCTAATGCTTCAATGTACCACGATTTTGCAAAAAACCACCAACAAAGCAACAAATAGGGACAATCACTATTAATGCAAAAACTAAAATTAGAAAATCCAAGTTTCTTACATAATTAGTTGTATGTGGCCTGCTCAAACAACAGAATGCCTTAGAATTTATTCATATGTGCATCAGATAGCAAAAAACATTTTTTTTTAATAAATAGAATTTAAATGCTACGTTAGTTATCAATATTATATTAATACAAATTAATAAGATTGCAAAATTTGGATAATGTCATAGGAGTTTGGTAATAGATATAAAAAACAATAGAGTTTGTAAAGTTAACAAATTAATGGGTTAAAAACTTATAAATAATAACCAACCAGGCAATTATTTTTTTTAAATATATATAAATATAGAATACAATTATGTACAAAACTACATGGTCAAGAAATAGTAAAATACTAGTAGATTAGATAAATATTATTTAGAGTATATATATATATTTACAAACCATCAATAGAGCTTGTATCAATATCAGTTTCATCAGATATATTTGCACATTCGTTCAATAAAATCTGTGTTGGCGACATAATGGCTTCTCCCTGGTTAATTGTTTTCAAACGTTTTTCTAAGTCTTCCAATCGTTTTGCTAATATCCTAAACAAAATTAATTCAATTAAAATAACATTAACATTATTCAAGTAAAACCTAAAAAGTTACTTATTAGTTTTTTTCTGATGATTGAACGCTATAGTTTTATCTTGCAATGCTTCAAATAATGTTTGACATAATTTTCTTAAATCTGCAAGTGTTGTGCTGTTTGAAAATAAAGCTTGCAAATTTCCAGTCTCCAAAATTTGTTGCACTAAATAAAGTTAGAATTGTATTATTATGATATAGATACTCTTATTACATATATTCCAACTCACTCTGTTTGCAAGCAACTACTTTTCGGGCTATCAAATTATTACTATATAAAAGAGATGTTTCTTCATTTGATGTATTCTGAAATAATAAATAAAATACTATATTTTAAATAGATAATCATTTAAATAATTAAATTAAAATATGTATAACAAATAAAATAAATCTTAGCTCTCAGCTATTAGGGGTATTCAAAATCCAAAATAATATAATGATCATAATAATTGATAATAAATTTAATGTTTATTTTTTGAATTTGAAAAATGACTTTTAAGCTGAACTTATTAATGAAGAAACAATATTGCTTATCATTTTTATATGCCTGAAGTGCAAACATTTTTATAGCCAATAAAAAACCAATTTTTTATTATAATTTTTATACTTTAAATTTATAATAATTATTTATATTTCTAAAATATTATTTTTAATCTCGTAAGGAAAAATAAAATTTGGTTTTATAAAAATTGATTTTCATAACATTTCTATAACCTGGCACCGTGCATTCAAATGAAAAATACTATTTATTATTTATAAGTAATTTTTATATTTAAGGCTGCAGTTTAATGATTAAAAAAAATGTTTTTTATAGCAAAAAATAATGAATTAGAATAAAATAATAGTGACGTAATTAATTAGTGTTTAACGAACATATAACTGTAATCACCAGTTAGCCATTTAAAAAAAGCAAAAATAATAAACAAGCATAAACAAAATGCACGAGTCTGAAACCAAAACCCATGTGATACACTACAATGTGACTACATGAATTTGATACACACATAAACATCCTAATACTTCATTATAAACTTGTCAACTGTACATTATAAACCATTCTACAATCAAAACTAGTACCGTAAGAAGCTGTAAGGGACATAAACCTGGTATATTGAATTTGTTTTCTTAATCATTTCCTTTTCAGCAATCTCTAACTGCAATCTTTCATTTAAATACCTAAATATTATGCAATTGATTTACTTATTTTTATAAAGCATGCTTAAATGAATTTGATTCAAAATACATACTTATTTTCAAATAATATACTATCGATATCTAAAATAGATTGATTTTTATTGGCTTTTAATGAGGCAGCTAGTTCATAATTTAATCGTCGTATTTTATTACGAAATCCATCTCGTTCTGTGATTAATTCTTGTTTATCGTCCAGTAACAAACCAAAATCAAGTTTTAACTGCTGATACTGAAAACAAAAAATAAATATTTTATAATTTGAAATTTACATGATAATACTATAATATACGTACTTTTGAATGTATTATTTCTAAATTTTTCACCAATTCTTCTTTGCTGTCCGTACTAGTTAAGATAGTATTAATACAATCTTTTACAAATCCACCAGTTCTCAATACCTGTCATCAATTAAAATTGTTTTATAATTTTTGAAGAAACCTGTTTGAAAAGTGTTTTATATGCAATTTTGTAGGGAGGATTAAATAAATAATAAACTAAAGTAATAAGATTAAAACTGAAGCGTACACAGAAGAAAATTATAATACAAGAATAATACATTTTTTTAACTAGATTAAAAATGTATAAGATAATTTTAGTAATATGTGAAAAAATATGTATAAAACTAAACAATAAAATAATAAATAAATAAACAGTAGGTACATTATATAAACATTGAGATTTGAAAAACTGTATAAGCAATAAGAGACATTAATAGTTTATTTAGTATACTTGAAATCTTACTTGGTTGTCACCTTGAGCATCATGTAATTTTTGGCGCAAATTATCTGCTTCCAATCTTAGTAATTTATTTTCTTCTCTTAGTTGACTAACAAGTTTATCATAATTCAACTGGTAGTTCTAAAAACAAAACATACAATTTTATTGTATAATGATCCAATTATCAATATCATTGATTTACTCTATTGTAGGTACTATGCAACATTTTATTTTCTAAAATGATTTTCAAGTGATCACGTTCTATTCGGCATTTCTCCAGTTCTTCACTTAATACAGTGAGCGCTGCAGCCTTGCTATTCAATTTCTGTTCCATGGCAGTGCTCTGTGCAACCGATGAAAATAATTCAAATAATTTATACTTAACAAATATCAATTTAAAACGTATATATATACTATTAGTAAACAAATAACTTACGTCCATTCTTTGAAAATTAAGTGAGCAATTTGAACACTGTACCAAAGATTTCGATGTTTTGGTAAGTGTTTCAACATATGTTTGTAAGATCCATAATGGTGGTTGGGGATTATCTTTGGAAAATGTTTTTGTTCGTTTAACAAGAATTGCTACTCGTTTAAAAGTGGTAAGATATTTAGATTATTATAGATACACGGTCGTTCAAAACGAAAATAAATCGGTTGCGTGCATAATTAATAATATGACGAGAATGTGTTACACGAGTCGTGTGAATGGGTTTATTGAACCGTATCATACCACGGAACATGAATAATATCATTACAATTAACTATTCTATTCTAAAATTTTAATTTGCATTTCTGTGCACGATAGAAAAAAATAAATGATAACACTATCGTGAGTGACAAAAATGATTAACGTACACAATATTCGTTTGAGTACCACCATTGGCGTACATACGGGGGTGTCAGGGGTGCTTAGCACCCCCAGTTTATTTTGAATTAAAAATATTGTTGAAGCAGGATT